CCGTCTGGAAAAGGCTTTCCTCGTTTGATCTCGCTTTCATCCGCACAAAACACCTGAACTATCAAACTTTTTAAGATTCGATCAAACTTTATCTGAAGTTATTTTTTGCAAAGAACCCTAAAGTCCTCTCAGATTCAACATTTCATACAAAAAAATCAAGCAATGGAGACCGAAAAGAAGGAAGCAAATTCCACATCAAGTTGTTATATCTCGTGTTCACAGTACTCTATGTACAACTCTACCTGATAACCCAGATAGGCAAGATTGCAGTGAAAGTATCGCAATGAAACTGCTATTGACGTGGAATGGAATAAGTTAAACTTTGCACAATAGTTGCTCCAAACTTGCTATAAAAAAGCATACCTTTATGGGAATCAAATCCAACCAGTCGCGATGCTTAACTGACTTTTGTTTAAATTTACGATAACAGGAACCTGAGCATATAGCCATGGGAATATCTAAAAAATAAAAAAAAAAGCTTACAGCTGAGCGAAGAAAGAGTCGTACGAATAAACATACGGTGTTTCGCGAAGTGCCGAACTAGACGCTCAGCACCGGGGAAAGCATTACATTCGGGAAACATCTCAGCAAGCATAGCATCCTTTTGAGCAACAAAATCTTGAACCGAGATTTGGTCGGAGATGCCCACCTAATGGCATTTTTATGAGATACAAATCACCTTATTAAAACATCTATAATGAATTACTTCTTTGATTAGCCAAGCGATTGCTTCTACTCCATTCCGACCCATCATATCTGAAAGAATGGGTGCTTCATTAGCTTCAGATGCTTGTCACGCAGACTGTAACTCGTTGACAGGCCGCACCTCAATAAATACTAAAAAGCTGATACAAGTGTAAATACAAGACCTTTTCTAAGCACTAGAATACAAGAAATTAATTGAATTAGAGACAAAAGTGAAAAAAGTTAAACAGACAATGGATGAAGCCTAGAGGGCGTATAGCCAAGTGGTGAAATTCTGACTGTTAATATCTATGCTGTAGTAATGGAAGTACAGACAACAGATCCTAACCCTCTCA